TTTATTGTATGTAAATTATACCTCAGCAAATCTGACTTTATAATTTTTTAAAAAAAAACATGGAATAGGAAAAATGAAATTCTAGTTTCAATGTACACTCCTATATATATTCTCAGGGTTGGCATCCCACATGCCCTTTGCTACTTGAACACCCCTTACCTCCACCCGCACCTGCATCCTACCAAAAGAAGGATTACTCTGAGCATCAGTGAACCAAAATGAAAGTCCACCAACCTCCCATCCTTTAAGGAAATATGTAAATTTTAAAATGGTGTTAGTAGCCCGGCTGGGTGTGTCTCAGTGGTTGAGCGTCCAGGCGATCAGGGTTCGATTCCCCGTCAGGGCACATGCCCCAGGAGGCAGCAGATCAATGACTCTCTCATCGTTGATGTTTCTATATCTCTCTCTCCCTCTCCTTTCCTCTCTCTGAAATAAATAAAGATATATTTTAAAAATTAAAAAAATAAAAAAATAAAATGGTGTTAGTATTTATGAATACAGCTTCCTGTAATTACTAACAAAATCTAAAGTCCTTATCAAAATGACTAGCACTTTCTAAGTGTTAAAAGTAATGTGCTGATGCAAATTCTGATCATCTGCATGGATAATATAATTTTTACTTCTAGATTTCAGCTGTTGTCTAGATTTTGTGTAAGGATATTCCACTTAAACTTCATAATTCTATAAGCCATTCCCATGGCTCCTACAAGCTATTGCAGTCTCAAGGCTTAAATTCCAGAGATTAGATAAAGCCTCTGTACCACAGCTAATGAGCCTTAATGCTCTTTAAGCATCAATGCTTTAGACAGGCTTTTCAGAATAAAGTTGTTTTTCCAGAGTAGTAGGTTTTCTTGCCAGGCAAGATTTGATCTCAAAGTTGCACTAAGTTCTAGCAATTCAGGTTTTCATTCTTGCACAACGCCACACTTCAGCAGAGTATTAGGAAACTCTGACCCATGCTCCTGCCTGCTGGGGTTTGGGTAGAAGACAAATCAATCATGGAGATTTACACTCACATTTCTGGGATTTTCACCCTTGGGGATGCAGCATCTACAATTTAATTGTCGTTGAAGAACAGTAGCAGCAACGTGGTTTTGTTTGCTTGTTAACTCACAAGCTCTGCCTCCTGCTTTTGAACAACTCCCTAAAGTAATGATAATTTTATTTTCATAAGAAAAAATGTCTCCAAAGAGCCTAGATTAACTTTTCTTTTTATAAATCATAAAAAGGAGTTCTAAGAATTGATAAAAAGGTACAGCTAGCAAGAAGTTTCTGGGCCCTAAGATAAGGAAGCGTAACAAGGCCTGGTGAGTAGATGCCCAACAGGTGACCATGGCCTTTCAGTCCTTCAGCTTTAATGTCATTCTTAGGTTAAACATCACATGATAAACATAACAACTGTTTTCAGTTCAAAAATTATACTTCTTCTATCTGACAGAGTCCTGGGTAAATAATGCTGTAAGAAAAATTCTAAGTTTTAAATAAAAACCTTAATATAAAATACTACTTAAACAGTATAATGTCAACTATGTTAGAGAAAGAGAGAAAATAAATAGGAGAAATGGAAAGAAGTACAAACAAAAAAATATTAAAAGACTTTTTGAATAATGGACCTAATCAGTATTTTCCTAAGCCTTATTTTTCTTTAAAATATATTTTTAACATTCCTAAATTGTTAGCAACCTAATATAATTTAATAAACACATGGTATAATATTAAGCAGGCTTTGATTTGGGGGTTTTATTTGCTTGTTTTGTAAAAAAGTGAAATATGCATTAGTTGCAAAATTTGGAAAATTAAATTTGCTGCACGTCGGATAGAGAAATGTGTAAACATGCCCCCAAAAATCAGGCAAGGCAACGGATGGAAATGAAATGTCCTGTTTTTTTTCCTTACCAATTTTTTCTTCTGATTATTTTCACTCTCCTTCTAAACACCTTCCTTGGAGGATTCTAATCAGGATATAGAATAAAACCCAAACTCCTCATTTCTTGAAGAGAACACTTAAATAGCGCTGCTTTATGCCAAGCACTTTATATATATTAACTCATATCATCTAAGTAACTCTTCAGGTTGGCACTTAGCATTCCCCACTTGGCTCCACTTAACCTCCAGCCTTTCCCCACCTTTCCAACTGCCATTCTTCTCACATTGACTGGACCACACTCACAGGTACCTCAAGTTCTCTCTGAGACACTGTCCCCCACCTCTGCCCTGGCCTCAACTCCAAAAATCCACTTGTCAAAGGCTAAGGTGGGCTCCAACCCCACCTTCATTAACCCTTACCAATCCTCCTGGTCTGAACTGCTTCCTTCCCCATTATTCTTTGTGGTACTAGGAGTACAAATTATTTCTTTTTTTCTTTTCCAACGATTAAAATATAATTTCCAAAAAATTTTAAACCATTTGTGAAGAACACAGTCTCTTACAGGAATTAAGCCTAGTAGAGCTTACATCGTCTTTCTCTAGTGTCCTCTCCCAGCACTGCCTAACTCAGAGTTGTGCACAATAAATGCTGTTTCATTTAATATATGAAACAAAGACTGGCCTTAAAGAGCAGTTTTTATTACCTACTACACATAGAACAACTTATATTGTCCCATATCATCTGTTTATTGCCAAAATTGTACACAGATGGCTACATTATAAAATAATTTATTTTATAAATTTATTAAGCATTATCTATGTGACAAGTACTATGCTAAGCATACTACTTTTATATGCATTATAAGTTAGAATATTCCCCAAAAATTATTCCATAAAAGAAATACTAGCTTAATATTCAAGTCATTTTAGAGTTATATTGTTGAGGTTCTCCATTTTTTGAAAAATAATATACTGTTTGGGGAAGAAGCATTAACCTAAACTAATTCAGTCATGCTAGTGTAGAAACCATCTGACAGAATCTATTTTTTAAAATGGAACCAGGAGACAAAGAAATTTAACACTGGCATATTAATGATTCCTGGGGCATGAATTTATAATTGCTAGGGCTGCAAAATTTGTAAATAAGCTTTATAAAGATCATATTTATTAAAAAAAGGAACACAGCAAGTTGTTATATTGTGGGACTACAAATCACAAGCGTACCACTGCAGGGAGAAAAAAAACACCTATAGGTCTGAGAATTCGTAGCTGAGTGAAGATAAAACTTCCAGTGCCATCATCATATATGGATTTTTAAAAACTGTGCAGCAAACATCTCAGAGGAAAGCAAAGATGTGCTCTGGAAAACTCTGCTAAGAAAAGAGATTCAAAAGGTCATTCTAACAGGAACAAACACTGGAATCAGATTGTGTTTGTCCTGTTAAGAGTGCAAACAAAAGTGTTTATGTGAAATGTGAAATTAGGAATATTACCAGGATAGGTCACATGTTCATACTTCAGATCACATTATATGCGTAATTATATTTCATTTCCATCATGTAAATATTACGTATCAAATAGACCCCAAAAAGGACTGTTCTAATCTTCTCACTGGAAAAACAGAGCCTTGCCTTACATTAGGGTCTCCTTAGATATGAACACAGACGGTTCTTCATAAACACCCAGTGCGCGGGGTATGACGGCAAAGTCACGCAGCTGTTCAGTACAAAGCTGCCTGACTTAAAAGTCTGTGTTCTCAACCACCGCCTCCATGCGGGAGGTTCGGTTCGCAGTGTCTGTGTTTGGGGAGGATTGCTGGACATAAATTGTGTCTCCGTCTCCAGCAGCAGCAACGTAAGAAGCACACACTTTCTTAAACACTAAGCACGTGTGAAGAGCCTTCTGTGCTGAGGCCATGCTGGAAAGCTTCCATACTCTCTAGAAGCAGGACCTCTTACAACCCCACCACTACCTCAGTGAGGGGTGAAACAGGTGGCATGTGAAAGCGAATTAAAAAAGCCTCCGATCCCTCTGAAGACTCCTCAACTCTACACAGCCTTCAATACATAAAACAGATAAACATACTAGAAAAAGTTAAGGAATTAGAAAACAGGTCCCTGCTTACATTCTGACACACATTTGTTAGATGAACTGGAGAAATTTTAGAGCCACAAAGTTGAGAGCCTAGGATTTCCTGTATTTGACTTGAATCTCAGGATAGCAGCTGGCCATAAAACACATGTGCTCAATCTTTTGAGTTTGTTCCCAAATTCTCAGCTATGTTATACACCTAAAACTAATACAAAATAATATCGAATGTAAACTATAATTGAAAAATTTTTTAAATTTTTTTAAAAAAGGAATATAATCTCTCATTCAATAGGAAAATAAAACAAAAGTGTTAGCTGTCCAGAAAATCTATTTTTGCTCAAAATCCTAACACCTCTGAAAGATAACATCATCCCAGTAGTTTAAAGAGAACCCATAAGGGAGATGTTTTGAGGATAATGTTTCCTATCACAAAAATTATAATTCTGCCCTGGCTTGTGTGGCTCAGTGTTGGCCCATGCACCAAAGGGTTGTGAGTTTGATTCCCAGTCAAGGGCACATTACCTGGGTTGCAGGTTTGGTCTCCCACCCCAGTCGGGATGCATGCAGGAGAAAACCAATCAATGTGTCTCTCTCACATTGATCTCTCTCCCTCTCTCTCTTCCCTCCCTCCCTTCCACTATCTCTAAAAAAAAAAAAATCAATGGAAAAAATATCTTCAGGTGAGGATTAACAACAACAAAAAATCATAATTCTGACCTTCAAGATATAAGAGGTCCACACTTTTTTTTTAAATCCTCACCCTACAGTATTCTTTTTTATTGATTTTAGAGAGAAAGGAATGGAGAGAAAGAAACAATCGGCTGCCTCCCAGGGATTAAACCAACAACTTAGGTACGTACCCTGACCGGGAATCTAACCCACAACCTTTTGGTGTATGGGATGACACTCCAACCAACTGAGCAACCCGGCCAGGGCAAGAGGTACACACTTTTCACTGCCTTTTTTCTTCCCCTGTTCTTCCAAGAAGGTAGGAAGACGGCTCTTCCAGCCCTTATGGATTTGAGCACAGGTCCTTAACTCACCTGAATGTGCATAGCGCCCTCTACTGCTTCTTGAATATTCGAGCAACCAGAGATGAGTGACAGCTGCTGTTCTGAGCTCAGAGAGCCTTTCAGAGAGCCTGACTGCTCCAGCAACTTCATGTCTTTTCTAAAAAGAAGAGCATAATCACTGTGAGTATTCAAAAACAAATTTTAAAACAAAAAAGACAACATCCCTCATCAGTAGGGAAATACCAATCAAATCCACAAGGATAGGCAACTTCACACCCATTAGTATGGCTACTATCAAAAGAAGAGAAAATAAACCAAGTGTTAGTAAGGATGTGGACAAACTGGAACCCCGTGCACTGTTGGTAAGAATGTAAAACATGTGACAAACAGTCTGGTGGTTACTCAAAAAGTTAAAAATACAACTAGCACATGATCCAGCAATTCCATTTCTGGGTACCTAACGAAAAAAATTGAAAGCAGGGACTCAAACAGATATTTGCACACTCATGTTCATAAAGGCATTGTTTGCAATAGTAAAAAGACAGAAACAAGACCCTGGCTGGGTAGCTCAGGTGGTCAGAGCATTGTCCCAATATTCCAAGGTTGTGGATTCGATCCCTGGTCAGGGCACATACAAGAAGCAACCAATGAATGTATAAATAAGTGGAACAACAAATCGATGTTTCTCTTTCTCTCTCTCTCCCTCTCTCCCCCTCTCTCTCCCTCTCCCCACCCCACCCCTTCCTCTCTTTCTCTAAAAATCAATTTTAAAAAAAGATAGAAACTACCCAAATGTCCACAGGCAGATGAATGGATGAACAAAGTGGGATCCATTCATACAATGGAACATTACTGAACCTTAAAAGGAAGGAAATCCTGTCACATGCTACAACATGGATAAACCTCGAGGAAATTACACTAAATGGAATAAACCAGTCACAAAAAGACAAATACTGTATGATTCCACTTATATGAGGTCCCATAGAGACACAAAGTAGAAGGGTTGGTTGCCACGGCTAGGGGAGGGGAATTATTATTTAATAGGTGGAGTTTCAGTTTTACAAGATGAAAAGTATTATGGAGATGGGTAGTTGTACAATAACGTGGATGTATTTAACATCACTGTACTGTACACTTAAAATTATGATGACAGTAAATTGTGGGTATTTTACAATTAAAATTTTTTTAATTTTTTTTTCAGAAAGGATAAAACAAGGCCGATGGGAGGTAAAACTAGAAAGCAGGAGTTCTTCATCCTTACCCTCAGTCAGTCCTTGGGGAGAAAGGTTGAAAGAAGGTATGTTCTAATCAGGACCAACCAGCTTCCTGGTGTATGACCTGTGCTCAGAAGGGCCCTGTGCTGGGTATAACGCTCTGCTGTCACCATCTTAAAATTCTTAATAAATATTGAGCCAAATGCCCACATCTGCGTTTGCACTTGGCAACACAAATTATGTAGTCAGTCCTGCTGAAAATTCATGATGGGCTAAATAAGCAAGGTAGAGCGCATACACAAACACACACACACGCTTGCCTAAGGAGCAACTTTCATGCTTTCCAAAAAATTGTGGAGATTTTTCTGCCAATGAGTCAAATAATTTTTACATGATTTCATGTCATGATTTTTATCTTGAAGTTGTCAAAGTCCTTCAGCCCAAGAATACATCACTTCATCTCCTGAATTACATGCAAAATAGTGTCTTCAAATCTGACCAGTTCAGCTCTCTGTGCTCATATCTGGTCTCTCACGTGTGCTGTCATTTTTCAGTTGTGGCTTCTGAGCCAGTTCATCAAGAAGCTTCTATTAGTTGTACAGAGTATTGTACAGTGTCTTAGTAAGATTCAAAATTTAAGATTTATCAGTTTGATACCTAAGATCAAGAAAGAAATGATTAAGTGCCAGTAAAGAGATATTATTTTATACACCATCGAGGAAATTGCAGAAAAAAGGGTCACAAGAAAAGGTTACCCTACTAAGATAAAAAGGAGAAGTAAGGGTTTCCAAGTCCTAGGGTTTCTGGTAACGTCCAGCAAACCTCCCCGAACACAGATGCATTTTTTATTCAAATTACCACAGTGAGGAGAGCTCCATATGATTCAAAGATCATTTCTTTTCCATTTCACAACATATTTTTGATCCATCTTTCAAAAATTTTTATAATTACACAATCTTATACATATTCTAAAAACCATTTAAGCCCTGGCCAGTGTGGCTCAGTTGATTGGAGCATCGTCCCATACACCAGAAGGTGGTGGGTTTGATTCCCAGTCAGGGCACATGCCTGGGTTTTGGATTCAATCCCCAGTTGGAGTGTGTGAGGAGGCAACCCATCCATGTTTCTCTCTCACATCAATGTTTCTCTCTCTCTCTGCGCCCCTCTACTCTCTAAAAACTCCATTTACAAAAACAAAACAAAAACAAACAACAGCCCTAGCCAGTTTTTCTCAGTGGTTAGAGTGTTGATGTGTGGACTGAAGAGTCCTGGGTTCTATTCCAGCCAAGGGCACATACCTCGGTTGCAGGCTTGATTCCCAGTCCCAGGGCCACGTGCAGGAGGCAACCAATCTATGTGTCTCTCTCACGTTGATGTCTGTCTCTCTCTCTCTCTGTCTGTCTCTCTCCGCCCTCCTTCCACTCTCTCTGAGAAGCAATGGAAAAAAATATTCCCAATAAGGATTAAAAAAATAATAATAATGAAAACACATTTAATTGTACTCTTTAAACAAGTTGATTGCATGGTATATAAATGATATTTCAATAAAGCTGTTGTTTTTGTTTCCCATTGCTCCTGTAACAAATTACCACAAACTCAGTGGCTTAAATAACGCACACTTACCATCTTATAGTTTGGAGGTTAGAAATCTCAGGTAGACTAATATCAAAGTGTTGGTGGAGCTGTGTTCCTCCGGGAGGCTCTGAAAGTGAATCTGTTCCTTGCCTTTTCTACATCCTAGAAGCCACCTGCTTTCCTTGGCTTTATGGCCCTCTTCCACCTTTACTCCAACTTCTGCATTTATCATCAGACCTCCTTCTTTGAGTCTCCTGCCTCTCTCTTTCCCCCATAAGGACCCTGTGATCACATTGGGCCACCCAGATAATCTCCCCATTTTGATATGCTTAACTTTATTATATCTGCAAAGTCTCTTTTCATGTAAGGTGACATATTCACGGGTTTCAGGATTAGACCCTGTACATCTTTGGGGAGCCATTATTCTGCCTACCATTTCTGTTTTTGAAAAGTGTAAAAGACATATAATATGGAATGTATATAAATTTCCCGTAAAATTACTGTCCAAAATTATGCTTACAAAACAGAGAGAACCTGATTATGATTGACTCTGTGCTTGGCAGATATTATTCCCCCATGTTCTGAATTTCACTGGCTATTAAGAAGTCTGTTATCAATTTGTCATTCCTTTATAGACAGTCTGTCTTCTCTTTCTGGCTACTTTTCAGACTTTTTTTGTGTTCCCTGGCATTTTATAGTCTCACTATGATTCATCTAGGAAGAGACACCCTTTGTATTTAGGCTGTTCAGGACACTTGGTTCTTCTAAAATGAGGATCCATGTCTGTAGTTAATATGAAATCTAAATCATTATGTCTTCATAAATTTCTCCTTTCCCTAGTCTCTCTAAATCTTTCAGACCTCTAATGAACTACTTCACATTTTCCATTGCTTCATCTCCTGAATTACATGCTAAATAGTATCTTCAGATCTGACTTCAGGTCAGTTCACTGTGCTTATAATACCTGGTCTCTCATGTGTTTTGTGATTTTTGGTTGTGAGCTGAACTCTATCTGTGGGAATTCTTTCAGTCTTGGATTAATGGTACATTATTCTGGAGACAATATGTATTTTGCTTCTAACAGGCACTGGAGACACTAATAACCAAGGGACTAACCTTAATTTCTTGGCGTGGAGTTTTTAATATCACACAGGTAACATGAATTTGGGTTTCAAAACTCTAAGAGGGCTGATTTATGTATAAACTCTCAGAGAAACTCTTTCTCCTCTCCACCAGAGTCAAGATCAAGATAGATGAGCTTCCACACATGGATGAGTTATATTCTTCTTAGTTCTCCATTTCACTAACAATGTAGCCCTTTGAATACTAGTGTCATTCGAGATCTCCAATTTGATCCCCCATCATCTACAGACTAAGGTTTGCTGTTAGAACCAAAGGTCCAGATTAGTAAGATAGGAAAATACTTAGAGCAGCTGTAGTTTTCACACATCCCTTGGTTTTGTGCTCTCAGACTGGTCTCTGAGAATTTATATTACTTTCTTGTCAGTTCAGCTATGCATTATAAAGAAACTATGAACTATGTACATCTCCATATTTTTAAGTGTTTCAAGTTGAAAGAATTTTCATGATATTTGCTTTGCCATATTGTCAGAAACTAAACTCTAGATTGTTTCTTTAAAGTCTAATATTCCTAGATACTTGGTATAGTTTATATTTCATGAGAAAAGGGAAATATTCACTGTCTTCATTTTTGTAATTCAATGTGAATATGAGCTATACTATACAAATAAATTTATATAATTATTAAGTGATTTCATTATGGTTCTTGTTCACATGTACAGGAACAAAAATATTACTGATGTTAGGATTGTTAATGCTAATGTCTGCTCTTTTGTTTCCTAGTTTTGCCCATTCAGAAAAAAGATATATAAATAATTCCGGAATCTAATAAACTTAGCCTTAAAAACAACTACAGATATTTCAGTGAAATGCATCAAAACACAAATAATGCTTCCTTTTTTTAGTCTAGCTTGTTCACTTTGGTAACACAGAAATCAAGGCCCAAGTTGGTTACAAACTCGCCCTTGGAGCAGGATGGGATGGAAACCATCTTCGAACTCTTTCTCTTAAATATATTAATAAGAACCTCTTCCTCTTCCTGACTCTTCCTGCGAAATTATGATTGCTCTCTCATTTAAAAAAGAAAACTCCATCTGGTGGAATTTATTTATAGGACTAACTGGCACAATTTATTGCCTTAAAATCTGAAGATTCAAGGTACTCAATATACTGAAGAGACTACAAAGAGAGGAACTTGCATCCACTTCCTCATGAATGCTGCTAACACGTGAGTCCCAACCTGCTGAGCCTGAACTTAGACCACAGGGCTCATGTGTTCCCTTGAGGG